AATCTACACGGCATTCACCTGATACATCACCGCCCTGCACGCTGAGCAGAACGAACCGATCCTTGAAACCCAAGATGGTAGCTGTTACCTTGTCCTTCCTGATGATATGGCACCCTACCTTGAACCCCATCTCTTCGACCAAAACCTGATTGTTGGCGATCTTACCGGATTCGTCGTATTGCCTCATCCTGAGAAGTTGGTAGTGGCTATACCAAACAAACTACACTTTCACAAACAAAAGATTTCGACCCAAACATAAACACCTTTCAAGAATAAACGATCGAGTCTCGCCAACCCGGCATTCTCAGGTGTGTCTTTCACTGACAAGCTTTCCTCTGGCGCTGAGAAATGCTCATCCCAACGGTTGGTCAAGTTCACTCCCAGATCTTCCCTCACCTTCCAAGTGAGCAAGGCTGCCTGATCCTCCAAAGTCTGCTTCACCTCCACCCCTGGCACCTTTTTCTCCAAGAGAATCATTAGGACTGACCGCCCCCATTCATAGATGAGCGACATATCGGTCAACCCCTTGTCCTTTGCCAATTTACGAACCTCCCCGATCATCTCATCAGCGTAAACGATTTTCTCATGCGTCAAGAGCTTTTTCACATCATGATGAGAAATGATTTTCTCAGGACAAAGTGCCCCCTGAATGGCAGCATGCCTGATGCGCACCAGCGGTGGACTCTTGCCTCACCAGTCATGCTTTAAACCACGCCTACAATTTTCTCATATTTTTAAGTACCAATCCCAAACTCAATGGGATCAAAAACAATAACCCTATATAGACATATGCAAAAAACAATTGAACCCACATAATCCAAAGCACGTGGTTTGAAGTTGATTGCCTCCCAGAATTCGTATCCTAGGACACGCCTAGGCCAGCTAGAGCAAACGTTCACTGTCTCCTTCAGGAACGGGGCTTCATCACCACCGCAAAACTGCATGACAAATGAGAAAATGTTTGGTAGGCTCGTCACGAATTCAGGCTTGCTCCTCTGGAGTTGCTTCTTGACGTCGGCAAAGCCGACGACATCCTTGCTTGCCCTTTGTTCTGTCCATACTCTGAACACACGCAAACACAATTGCAGCTCCGTTTCTTTTCGCTGAAGCTGCCCGCTTGTGTTCATGGTCAGTTGAACCAAGCTGGGCAAAGCTGGAAACGCTTCCATTACGTCCGCTGCCACTATCTCCCAACGGAGTCCATGACATACAGCGTCGTAATACTCACCGTCGTGAGATTCCAGCTTTTCCAAGCTGAGGGAACCATTGTTGGTGAACCTGATGTCTGAATGAGGATGGTGCGCTGCAAACATACGCAGTACCATGTTGGTGTGTGTGGCTGACAGTGAAGCGTACTTCACACTTCCTGGGGCAGCTCGAGGTAATAAACCCTTGGATCGTTCCACCAGTCCCTGGTTGAAGTTCATGACACTCTCGGTGTCTGACACTTCACAAGCCACAGCCCTCACTTCCTTCCAAGACCATCCACTGTCACCGATGTCACTCAGCAAGCCATGACACTCGGAAGGGAGAACACCTAGGCCATCTCGATTACTGGGATGGGGATGGACCAAAGCGGGGATCACCCGCTGTTCGTACATGAGATTCTGTGACTTCAAGTAGCTGAACAACGAGTTCATGCCTTGAACATGGCCACCCTCTTCGGCCCGCTGGATGAACTCAGCGATCTTAGCCCGCACTTCGTCCTTCATCGAAAGACCCCTGCGAGCAAAGCCCTGCAGGCGCGCTATAAGAAGCACTGCCAATTAAAGGGACGGCTGGCAATCTCTGTGAGCCAGGTGAGCCACACACAAAAGAAGCTGACGAAAACACAAGTGAACGACGCGCGAATCACATCTTGAAAGTGATGCACTGCACGTGCGTATCAAACTCACAAATCATTGCAGATGTTTTCCCATGACACAAAAAAGGATTTTTCAATTTGAATGGAAAAGCTCTATTCTTGTCACATGTCCGCATTGAACTCCACACATCTCTCTCACAGCTTTGGGGGATAGCGCACCTGTGTCAGTCCGCAGCTCATGCAGCACCGCCAATCCAGACATGAAGCAGACACGGAGGAGAGTTAACAGAATGTTACACCGTCTCTCACAAACAACCCGTTTTGAGACCTAGTTGTGGAACTTCCAAAGCAAACAACCCATCTGACTCTTTCAAGATCTGAAAAAAATAGAATCAAACAATCTTCAGGTCAACGTCTCCAATGCTTCCAACCATAAAGCTTTACACATTTCAGTTAACCCCAAGCAAACCAAACCAACCCACAAGCAAAGCCAAATACTGATATATATTCAATACAGATAGTATAAAACACCCAGAAGAAGGTATCTATATATTTATGTATCACTATTTCAAGAACGCATCAAGAAGAATGTATACCTTCTTCTGGATGTATTATCGCAATGTCACAGACTATATAGTCTGTGATATTGCAATCTTCACCTATAGGTGAAGATGTCCTTTTTTCATCTTAGCCCGAACCTCCCGATCATCTCCGATGTAGATGAGCGACATATCACCCAAATTTTCAGATGCGTCAAGAGAAGCCATGACACTACTGTTACTCTTCCAGGGATCATCTTCCCAACTTTTCTCCACTGAACTCTTCCAGGCCCGTGATGGGGCACCGACCGCGATCCGATCACCGGCTTGCCATGGCAACCCAAAATGACCGGATCTGGTTTATATACTTGCGCGCCAGCAGGAAACTTCACCACATATAATCTTCCCAAAACCCACTTAACACAGACTTAGGGCGCTTAGCTAAGTCGACTTAGGCTACTTAGCGTAAGTCCACTAACCACTTAGCTAAGTCGACTTAGGCTACTTAGCTAAGTCACGCCTAAGTCACTTAGAAGACTTAGCTAAGTCTACCCTATCCAGTTAGATAAGTAGGCTAAGCCGGTTACACAATTTAGCAACATATGGGCGCTAAGTCTTCTACCTGGTTAGATGTTTTAGTAACTATCGCTAAGTTGTTGGCGAAGTTAGTAAGTGGTATATATAGATAGGTGACTTATAAGTATGGTTAGACAACTTATAACTATGGTTAGACAACTTAAAAGTATACTTATAAGTCTTATAACTATTTATAACTGTTACTAACCAGGGCGGTCATCAAAGTAGTAGCTTCAAAGACATACCAAAAAGCTTCTTGTTACTAAGAAGCTTCAAAGACCTAAACAGCTTCTTGTTACTACAGGTGAAACGATTCCCAGTGAAAGGATTCTCAAGGAAGCTTCTAGTTATTACAAAGATCTAGAAAGCTTTCATGAATATATACATACAGACAGTCAATTCAGGTACATACAGAGAATCCATCCAACAGATGTCAAAGCGCAAGTCAGGATGCGGCTACGATTGCATCGAACGCGGAGAATGATTTGAAAAGGTGTCAGGATGAAGACCTTGTGGGCATGAAGTGCGCCGCGCCTGCGACAAAAGCCGTCCGCGCAGCCAGCAACGCAGGGAAATATATGGCCGAGTTTGAGGTCAGAGGTTGCGATCAGATGCTTGCCAAAAGTGATCGGAGGTTCCATCGGATCTAAACTAGATAAACCCAGTGTACCATAGCACCGTTTTCGTGATCATTTTCTGGAAGTGAGGCAGCGGGCGCGAGGATACTTTGGGGTGCTCTACACGAATGGAGGGGGCAGCATGGGAATATGATGCCCTGGGGACTGAGCTGGGAAATACGATCATCTCGTGCTCCGAGCTTGATGGTCGACCGATTGATGGACCCTGAGATCAATATGGATTGGTGAATATTGGGGCGTTGGTCGGGGAAGTGGTATCCTCTGCTGCCTACTTACCTACTTATCAGCTGCTGGCATGGCCATTGGTAGTGCTGTTGATTTTGATTGCCCTTCGGCCTATCCACTCGACCAGCAACTAAAGATGCGCAACCAGTCTTTGCAACCATGGAAATATCAGGGCTACACACCTTGGCAACAAGCAAAGACCATTTGCGCAGAAGGGTCGTTGGCCTTTGCGCGCCTTTTGTCCTTATCTGCTGCAAAAGCATCACGTGGGGGCGGGAGGTGTGGGAACTTCTCCACCCTTTGCCTGCAGAACGCCTTTTTGGCGGCCGCTGCGACGATGGGCATCGCAGAGACAGGGGCCGTCTTGCGGGACACCTGCAGAGCCCATGACCTCAAATGCTGCAACTTCGATCCACTGTCCAAGAGCATGGTGTGTCAGTGCAACAGGACGAGCCTTCAACAAATCAATGCTCAGAATCGAAGGAAGAATGGGAGGTGTGCATGATTTTCCGGATCCATGGCAAAGCTCATTGGCGTATCTGGCGTATCTGCAACTTTCGCCCAAGAAGCAGGAGAAGCTTGTAAAGGAATTCCGCATGGCTGCGGTTCGATGGTTTCCTTGGCTGTAGCATCTTTGGGCTATTTTGCTGAGAATGCTGGCCGCACCTACTATGAGTGCCCTTTTTACGAAAATCAAAACCTCTATACCAGTGTGGACAGGACCAGTCCAAAGATGGCCACGGCCGCTGAACGGTTTGCAAGTGCTGTAGCTGCAGCGATCCTGAACTGCGGGCCTTTGGTTGGAAATCAACCTGCCCAGCAGCGCCTTGTTGGGATGGTACATCCACCACGGCGGTTTTTTGTTCCTTAGCCATGCGTTTCTTGAGTAACCCAGGCGTTTTTCACAACCTTTTGATATTTTCCGTTATGAATTAGCTGGTGCAGCCAGTGACGTTTGCCTTGGAGCGTGAATATTGTGATGTTATGTTTGGCGTCAAGCATGTCCTGCCAATGATGGATTGAACAAGGAGCTTGGCAGCTTTCTTTGCTGGCCACACCGTGTTTAGCAATTGCACACCCTGAATGGATGCAAGCATTCGTAAAGTCGAAAAGATTTTAGTCAAACAGAAGAGTTGTGTTCCCAATTGTCATCAGAGCACCCCGTGCTGACTGACAATGGTTCTTCTCCTTGAGGAATGCGCGGCAACCACCTTCATCATGTGCAGTGTCGAGTTCCTTCGAGTTCTTAGCGTTCTTGCAGGGACGCTTGCTGGGAAGATGGTACACACCGATAGAGCTGTAGGAAAGTATGTTGCCTGCGAGTGCTAATCCTGGAGTCCATATCCACCTGTTGGTACCAGGATGGTTTGCTACTGCTGCTCCCTCGTCATTGTACTTTGGAATGTCGACCGACTAGACGCAGTGCTTCAAATCAGCTTCTTGGATTGAACTTGGTGCTATCACGTGCATGGTCCATAGCTTCAGTATTGTTTATACAGTTTATACAGTCTAGTCATTTGTCGTTTTCCATCAGGGCGAGGTTAGGCTCGACTTGTTTGGATTGTGGCGCTCGCCGAGGTGAAGAGCTGCACGAGTTGAATGACTTTAAAGTCCAGATCGACACATTGAACGTACCATGGACATGCTTGACGTTTTTGAAGTGATTGTGGGATCGAATAGTAGCAGAGGGAATCATTGGGGCAGTTCACTCAGAATCGGTGCCAAGAATGAGACCGCTCACGGCAACAGATGACCTTGATAGGGAAATATGGCCCTGAATATTTGTTAGGCACCTCCATGTTGCACTATTCAGGACCTTTGCAGAGTACAAAAACACTTGAACCTGCCAATGCAGGCCAATGATTTAGCCGATGAAGATTCAGACATTTCAATGTTGCAGATTGTGGAGAGAAACCTGGCCAAGCAAAAGCGCAACTTGATATGCAAGAGATTGCAGGAGCATGGGCCTGCCCTGAGTCATGCCATCTCCACCCAATTTTCCGAAATCTGGTGTTTAGCCATTTAGCAAGTGTTTGTGCTTTCTGCATGGCAAAAGCAGATCACGAAAGCCGCCAAAACACAGGTGGATGTGCTGCGGACACTTTTTTTGAGGCACTGACAGGCAGTGACAGGGTCAGTATACCACACGTTTGTTGTGCTGATGTTTGAGAGGAACACTGAAGCCAACAGTGGCAAAGGAACCAAGCTCTGAGCAACTCTAGGGCCTAAAAGATAGTTTTTTTGATTGATTGATGACATGTTCTGAGAATCCGAGGAATCGTGGCAGAGTTTTACAACAATGTTTGGGGCGATTCCTTGAAGGACCTCCGGCCCTTCCAAGAATTGGCCGCGGAGGCTTCGATGCAGATAATTGCAGCAAGAGATGGTGCTTTGATAAAACACCATTGTCTCGCCACACAGTGGATCACCGTACAGTGTGTTGCTTTAGCCAAGCAAAATGTCCGAATCTGTAAGAAGTAAGGATTTGGAAGCTGGCTTGCAGGGCGACGTCAAGCAGCCCACGGTCACTTGCACAACGTGTTCAGGGTTACTGTTGGGCTTGATCAGGTTGACCGGGGCTATTGATGTTTGGTCCCTCGAGGTCAAAGACGTAAAGCTGTCGACACGGGCCGCAGAATGTAGTAGAGGTAGTACGCCTAAATCACAGTCCAAACAGTTCAACCGCCTTCAAGGCCTTCATCGGTGTGGAACTATCAACTCGGGTATGTGTTTTACTGCAGTAGCATGAATTAGCCATAGGTTTTGAATTATTTTGATATGTGTTCTATTGTTGTTATTTCTCTTGTGAGCTTGGGTGGTGGTGCCACTGCGTGGCCGCTGCAGCACCCAATAGCTCACACAGCAGCAGCACCAGCACCCCTAAACCCGGGCTATAATGGAACAAAGATTTGATACTGTATATAGGGCTGAGAGCTGAGAGGGTCTTCCCCGTTTCAGTCCGTATTCGACATTAGCATCATCGGCATCCCAAAGCGCGCCCCAAGCGCACACAGCAGCGGCACCCTGCAGCAGCACCAGCACCCAAGCTCGAATACGCACACGCGCAGTTCTTCCCATTCTGGAACGGCGGCACCTGCACCCAAGCTCGAAAACGCACATGCAATGATATGCAGGATATGCAGCTCTTCCTATACTTGAAGTAAGAATCCCACTGGTTCAGGGGAAAATCAGCCACCAAAGCTACATGTTATTTAGACAATGTTCCGAGGCCTTGTGGGTTACGAGTTTCCTTGAAGAAGCGCTCGCACTAATGATTTTTATTCTCCGATACATTCAATGCACTCTTTGAGTGACTCACCAATCGCGATTCGAATCTACCACTTCCAGGGACGACGGACTTGCTCAGACTGAGTTCCGCAATGCACTCGGTCATTTCATAAGGCTTCGGGATTGTATTTGTCCATACCTCTTGATGCAGCACTACGATTCAGCCTGAGTAGTGTCAAGGCGTCTAACTCTTTGCAGGTTCAGGGCCTTGGGCCATTCAATGTGTTTCATGTGTGCGCACTGTGAAGGAGTCGATGTACTTGCACACAGTTACGCTGCTGCAGCTGCGCGGTTGTTGTTTGTTCTGAGGCGAGCACGACCTTGAGCGATATGACTGTTTACAAGCAAATACCTAGTGAAGCTGCGGTCACACCAACGGAGACACGGCTGAGTTGATGCCACAAGACGCCTCGGCTGTCGCAGTCCTTTCCTCCAAACAACCTCCGACCTGTGTGATTTATATTCTGATTCATCACCAGATGACTGAACGAGTAGGCCAAGGCTCCAAGCATACATAGCATGCATTGTGATGCCGTGGTAGTTCAACATGTGTTCCAACACCCTTCTGTATTGTCTAAGTTCGATCAAAGTCTGACCCATTGAAGGCAATGGTTCTGTATGACTGACTCCTTCTGGTGTTGCACTGGTTGCACTATTATAATCACTTATCCTTGAGCCAACTATTTCATGCAAGTCAGAAAGTTTGCCCATTCCAGCAGAAAGGGATATCACTACTGATATCACAGGAAACCGAGAGTTATTTTGCCAAACTACTGATGGCCATGATCTATGAACCAAACCTGTGGAAAGTCGTCAGAAGGCGGGGTTTGGGCTCACAGGTTTGCATTTAATTGGCCGGGAACCAAGAGCCTCATCGCCCACGCTGTGAATAGCAGTGGTGGCTGTGCAAAGATCTGGCTGTGAAGTGAAGACGATAAAAGTGGGCTTTCAATCAGATTGGCACCTGGTGTCCAACGTCCCAGCGCCCGAGAGCAGTTGTGAATCAAATTGCAAGCCAGACCAATGCACTTGCGCCGCCTTTCTCACAGACGAGCTGAGAAGGGTCTTTGGGCGTTGAGGTTGCTTTGTTCAGAACTTATGGCCTGGGCATGAACAGTTCAACCAAGCTTGAGGGCATTTAGAACATCGAAAATGAGAGTGAATAAGACGAGGTTTGCTGGGTAAGAAGTTTTGTAAGTTTCTGTTCCGTTTGGATTGGAGCAGAGTCGCACCATTCATTGGATTTCCGAGCTCCCTCTAGGTAAGATGTTTTCATTTGGGCATGTGTGATTGATGACAGAAAAATAGAACTGAAGGTCCGGATGTCATCACATTAAGCTACCAAATTTTACCAAATGCAGAAATATGTCGTGAGAGAATTCTGTAGTTGCTTTGCACAAGGAAATTTATCAGTCCGGGTTTGTGCAGCCTGCAGGTAGCGACGCAAAGCCAAAGGCACCTCAACATGAACCTATCGTGATGCAAAGCCAAATGTGCTCGTGTTGTTTTTTCTAGTGCCTTCACACCTAACTCATTAGAGAATGCGCCACCAGGGTTCATACAAGACTCGTGCTAGTTGAAGATACTTCTGGAATATGTTTCAGAAGCCAAGTCCTTTGTGAAGCGAATATTCACCTTTGGATTTTCCAGTGATTCAGAATGATAGATGCAAATGTCAGGTTCATTGGCCTTCAGTCTGAGAGAAGGTGACTGCTGTTCATCTGAGGTCCTCTTGAAAAGATACAGAATAAGTATGCAAAAGTCGGGATCCAGGCGTGTTTTTACTGTAAATGTGTTTTGCGTACCGCTGCACAGGCAGAACGAGTCGCCTTGGCCTGGAACGCCTTGTCCATTTCAATGTTTGTCCCACCCCCAACACACAAGCTCTCAAGAACCGAATTTGCAAGTTGGGTCTTGAGAAGGTCCATGAGTCCGCCCATCCCATCTCCCTACGTTTTACATCGTCTTCACATGTTTTTACGAGGCCTTCATGTGGGGCGTGGCGCCTTTCAGGGTTAACACATGGTTGTCATGAAAACGACCACTTCCATGCGGGTCAACACATGGTAAGCTGCTTCTGCGTCGCATTGCTGCCAGCTTACCACGAGTGGAACTGGAAGAGCTGGGTCCATCGATGTCTTTGAGCCTGGACCGCACGAGGTGCGAAGAGCTGTCCGAATTGATTGTGAAGAAAGATGTTTTGATCATCAAACAGATCAAACACTCGTAGTTTGTGACATGATTTCAAGATACAAGTTTTCTTGTTGGGGATGTATGATGGCGACTTTCGTCCTAAAGATTTGACACCAAACCCTTGGCTGCAGAAAAATTTACTACATGCCGAAGACAACAAGATGCATTCATGTCCGGGATGTCCAGGATGCGGGCCCATAAACCGGGCACCCAACTTGTCGCAGCATTATAAGTTATATACTGCAACTGAATCTTTTCCGGAATGCTTCCATGTCTCGCATTGTCTCGCAACGTTTGCAAAGTTTGCATACATTCGCGCTTCAATCAGCTTGACACAGGGAACCAGACAAGGACAAGTGGAAGCATTCGATCAAGGTGCCCAAGGCGGCAAAGCCTAAGAAGGTGCGGACGCCTGTGGAGATTCCGGACTCGTCGCACTGGCTGTGTTTTCCAGGTCGCTCATGTAACTTGCTTGGTCCCATATGGTTCTTGCACAAGGTCATTGGGTGTTTGGGTGTTGCGTGTACACAGGTGAAGAACGTGAAGACTACTGACTTGGGCAAGACCGTCGGCAAGTTCCACTTAGGCTGGGCTCAGGCAGTAACGAACATGAAGCGACATGATACATGTCTAGAACTGACCTGATGTGCTGTATCAACAGCCAGCCTCTCCCGGGAAACTCTATGGACAAATTGTTTCTGTGCCATTTTCTCAACATGGCTCAACTCTAATGTTGGAATGTGTTAGTTCTAGCAAAACGGAAAGCAGGTGTGTTCCAGGTCTGTGTTATCAGATGGCTCTACATGGTTGTCGATCTAAAGGTCCTAGTCAGCAGTGTGTATGACGATGACCCGGAACATATCAAAATCTCATTTGGCAAAAGTGTTTTTCTCGAGCTGGCGAAAGTAACTTTTTTTTGGCGAAAGATCTGGCGAAAGATTAAATATGTACTTTTGTATGAATGTTCATTTGCTTTCTGAACAGCTGGTGGCAGTGACTCAGAAGCTAGATGAGCTGTGGAAGTTAGATAACCTGCTGCTGCTGCGGCTGCTACTACCACTACCACTACCACTACCACCACTACTACTACCACTACCACTACCACTACCACTACTACTACTACTACTATTCCTGCTCCTGCTTTGGGGGGTGGCTTTGCCACAAAACTCTACCCCGCAAAAGGCGAAAGTTTGGCGAAAGTTCAGCTCGAGATTGGCGAAAGTTCACCTTGCCACATCTGACCCCCAGCCCATTATGAGTAAGTTTGAGTGACCGGCTACTACAGTGATTCTTGCAATTTTGATTCTTGCTGACACCCAGGAGAAACAAAAGAGACGTACAGGGTGTCAACAGTTAAGTAGAAGACACATGCTGACAAACAGTGAAGTTTCTATTTTGTGTTTGCCAGTAAAGAAGAAGCCATTGACGTGAACAAAACACAACATACATGGCACACATAAATACAACGTACTTCGGCGAAAGATAAAACGCAGGAAGGCGAAAGTTTGGCGAAAGTAATTTTTTTTTGCGAAAATGACGGATCCCGGATAAAGGAATTTAGATCAACTCCCACATACACTAGAGATCTTGTGTCAGCCTGATGACTGGACAACAACTTGTCGGGATAAAGGAGCATTGCCCTGTTTGCTCAGCAGGCAGGCAAGACTTCCACCAGATTCACACAGTTCATCATGGTATCCTGGCAGCATTGGTACGCAGCTCCTTTCACGGGACGCACAACATGTCAGAAGGTTCCAAGTTGTTGGGGTAGAGTTTGAAGTGAAAGCAAGATGATACAAGCAATGTTTTTTCGTAGACTTCTGAGACTATTTGTTCACCTGAAAGCTTTTGTATGAGTTGAATCGAGCAGAGCTGATCACTTTGAATCAAATCAGGGCACACAGTTTTTGTGACTTCTGTAGTTGCTTGGCTCCATTCATTGGAATTGCTACGTTAGGTTGAACCATACAGTAGATACAGTAGTAGTGAGTCCATTCTCTTTGTACACAAATTATATACTGTACTACTTGTGTGTGTGTGCGTGTATGTGAAACCCTTGGAATCAGAGGGCTTCCGTTGAAGTTTTGGGTTTTTTGTGCAGGGGCTTGGAATCAGAGGGCTGCCGTTGAAGTTTCGATGTTATTTCTTGTAGGGGACCAGGCAGGGTACATTGTCGCCTGGTCAACGAAGCTGATATGAAAGTGGGACGCCACTTTGACGTACCTGCTGAGTTGTGGTGCTTGCAAGCTGTCACTCCACATTTCACTAAAGGGTTCACGCATTTGCAGACTTGAGCGCTTGTCGTCACTTTGTCGGTCGCGCATGCTGGAGCTGGATCTTGTGATTTTGAACACTTTTGGCCTCCTTCGTTTCGACAAGACCTCCAGGACGTTTAGAACCCCGCACACGCATTCTCAGGGGAATATGGTACCTAGGTTGGCGAGTGGCAAACCGCAATCGAGTCAGTACGCAATATCTTGAGTGTGTCTGGCTTCATGCCAGCCCAGGGTGTACGCGAGGAGTGTCCCCTCTGTCCCCTGCCCGGTTACAGAGCAGTCCGCAGCGGACGAAGCAGGCTTGTGCCAAAGTCACTTGCCAAGACTTGACGACTTATTGAATACAAGTAGGCAGCCTTCGGGCAAGCCATGAGGTGACCACAGCGGTCAAAGCAGCCTGCCACTTAGGCACGGCGTATGTGGCCGCAGCGGCCGAAGCTACTCAAGGTTCATTGGAACCTGTCAGGCCTTGACCCCCTTTCCTCCCCTTTCCCTCTCCCCTCTTCCTTCTTTTCTTTTTGGGGTGTCACTCAGGTACACCCCTCTCCCTGGTGTGCCCCTGGACGCTTGCTTCATAGCTGGGAACACCTGTCCCCCTTCCCCTTCTTCCCTCCTCTTTGTCCTTCTCCTTCTCCTTCTTCTTTTTCTCTTTCTCGTTCTCTTTCTCTTTCCCTTTCCCTTTCCCTTTTTCTTTCTCTCTCTCTCTCTCTCGCTTTCTCTTCTTGTCCCACCCCTTTCTTTCTTTCTTGGGTGTCCCTCAACTCAATGCTTCCGTCATAGCTGGGAACCCTTCTCATCTTCTCTTGGTGTGTCCTTGGGCGCTTGAGTCGTAGCTCTTTCCTTTCTTCTTTTCCGTTCCCCTCCTTCTCCCTGCGCAGCGGGCATTACAGACAAACTAGGCATTTGCAACAGGTGGCTTCATGAGGTTCGGCTTCTCATCTGTTTGTCTCCTTTCACTTGGTTCCCTCGTCGTTGGCCCCCACAGGCTTCTTTTCCTTCTTTTCTTTCATGTCCTTTCTGTCTTCATGTCCCGTCATCCTCACCCTTTTCTTCTCTTGCCCGCACATGGGTCCGGCCCTTAGTGTGTATACGTGCACCCATACATTTCAAATAGGTATTAGGTGGCGCAGGTTTTTGACAAGGAGGTGTGGCTCATCGGTTGTCCCTGTGCACGTGGTTTCCCATTCATCGCAACCACACACACCTTTGTCCCGTTTCGTCCTCCTTCTCATGTCTTCATTTTTTGTCCATGCTGCGCGCACATATGCACAATTAAACAAATATTTGCCTCCCTAATCAGGAGGCGTGTGTCTGTGTGTGTCACACTCTGTCCCGGAGAGTTTTTTGTTAAGTGGATGTGACAGGGGATGCATCAAGGGACGCCTTGATGTGTACCTGCACGTTGAACTTTTGACCACGCTGTCCAATTGGATCTTTTTGTTTCTATGGTGGTTTGCACGCTACCTTCCCCCAAAACAGGTTTTCCCTCCGCATTGCAGCTGCTGATCGCCGCTTTCGTCGAGCGCTTTTGCAACATTTGTTCAACATTCTGTTGATCGCGGACTCAGCCATCTTACGTTTCCATCGTCCATTTCACTGAGGAACAGAGTTGACTGCAAACTCATTGTCTAAGTGTGCCCCGCTCTGTCGCCCCACTGGGTGCAGAGTGTGATCCTCTCGCAAGAGAGGCGCTGAAGCCACTCCGGACTACCGGTTTTCTGATTCGAAGTGCCGCCATCGTGGATTCTGGTTTGATGAATTTTGCTTCGCCCAATGAATTTCCTGCCGCAACACTGCCGAGTTTACGGAGATTCAACAACCGCCGGGTTTACGGTCATATATTCGCCACACACACACCCACCTTGCGCGCGAATTCACACTTTTATCCCGCCCGCTATCTAGGGTAACAGAAGGAAATGGTACTCGACACACTTGTGTGTCTGTGTCGGTGCCTTTCCTTCTGTTTCTCCTGTCCTAGTCCTATTTACCCGGGCGGTTTAGGACTAATGTCCCGCTCGCTAACTAGTGCGCCTAGTTAAGAACCGCTAAGTAGTCAGTAACTAGTTTTTGTTGAAACCTTCTGTTGATCGGACCCAGCATTTCTTGCCGTTCCCTCAAGTCAAGGGCTAAGTATTCAGTAACTAGAGTGCTAGGTAGTCAGTAACTAGAAGGTTTCGTAACTAGTGGGCCTCATAACTACACCTATCTTTCTCTGTTGCCCTTTGCGTTTCTCTTTCTGTCTTTTCTTTTCCTTTCTGTCTATGGCTTTTTAGGTGGTTAGTATTTTTCTCTCGAGCGCCGATATCGGCACTCTGTGTGTGTGTGTGTGTCACACTCTGTCCCGAAGAGTTTTTTGTTAAGTGCAGGGGGGCCAGGCCTGTCACATCCTACCTGGCCCAACGAAGCTGGGATGTGACAGGGGATGCATCAAGGGACGCCTTGATGTGTACCTGCACGTTGAACTTTTGACCACGCTGTCCAATTGGATCTTTTTGTTTCTATGGTGGTTTGCACCCTACCTTCCCCCAAAACAGGTTTTCCCTCCGCATTGCAGCTGCTGATCGCCGCTTTCGTCGAGCGCTTTTGCAACATTTGTTCAACATTCTGTTGATCGCGGACTCAGCCATCTTACGTTTCCATCGTCCATTTCACTGAGGAACAGAGTTGACTGCAAACTCATTGTCTAAGTGTGCCCCGCTCTGTCGCCCCACTGGGTGCAGAGTGTGATCCTCTCGCAAGAGAGGCGCTGAAGCCACAAATTATATACTGTACTACTTGTGTGTGTGTGCGTGTATGTGAAACCCTTGGAATCAGAGGGTTTCCGTTGAAGTTTTGGGTTTTTTGTGCAGGGGCTTGGAGTCAGAGAGCTGCCGTTGAAGTTTCGATTTTATTTCTTGTAGGGGACCAGGCAGGGTACATTGCCGTGTGGTCAACAAAGCTGGCAATGTAATTACCTGAGGAAAGTGGGACGCCGCATTCACGCTGTCACTCCACTTTTTACTAAAGGGTTCATGCATTTGCAGACTTGAGCGCTCGTCGTCACTTTGTCGGTCGCGCATGCCAGAGCTGGATCTTGTGATTTTGAATACTTTTGGCCTCCTTCCTTTCCACAAGACCTCCAGGACGTTTAGAACCAACCCCGCACATGCTTTCTCAGGAATATGGGTACTGGGTACCTAGGTTGGCGAGTGGCAAGCCGCAATCGAGTCAGTACGCAATATCTTGAGTGTGTGCAGATGTATCCAGAGACTGATGTACTGCCACGAGAGATGGTGATTACTGTGCAACGGTCTCAGCACAATGCTTCAGATGGAAGCAGCCAAGGCGCAAGTAAAAAGAAGAAGTTGGCCGCGAGCGCCAAATCTGCTGAAGTGAAGCCAGAAGGTTGGGAACTGACTGGTTTGTCCAAAGATAGATGTGCAAGAGGCGAAAGGTTGCAAATTTCACGTTCAATTTACTTGATGATGTATATAGCTGCATGGTAGCTAGCAATATGATGCCATATAACTAAAGGGTCATATCAGTTGAACCAACTGTTTCAGAATTTCAATCACCACGAGTGAAACGCCTGAGATCGCCTGAGCATAGTCGAACATTGTTCATCCAGAATCAGAAGATTTCAAAAAGATGCTCGACATGCCACCTGTTCAGGGAGTTCATGTTGGAGGTTTTGTGTCGATTCTTACGGGTGGTTCAAGTATCTTGAGGCGCGGTGCCCACTCCAGCTTGAGAGACATCATGAATCATGACCAAATATTGTTTCACTTAAAACGTGGGAGCAGCCCGGTCTCACCCATCAAACTAAGCAGGAACAATCCAGTCACTGTTGAGTGAGTTTGGTCACAGTGGATCACTGTATGTAATAAGCGGCAGCTTGGATGTCCAAGCTATGTCCAGCGTGCAGACATGGAGTGAAAATTGCAGACGCAGGGTGTCATAGTGGATCTTCTACTTGGTGGCCTATGAAAAGTATTGAAAAGTGGTTTGCAATATGACATCTCACTGGACTCAATGCAGTGATATACACCTTTGTGGGAGTATTTTTTGGTGAAACCAAGATGCGTTCCTGAGCTTTGAGAAAATCCTTGAGTATCGCAATGTGTGTTCTGTTAGTAACTCGCATCCCTGTTTGAGCGCTTCACAGCATTTCCGGGCGGGACAGCATTTCTGCAGCGCTTCGGCCAAAGAGCGCACAAGGGAGCCCTCCTTGTGCCAATGCCGACAGGCTCTAGTCGATCCAGCATCTCGGACCTCTTTCAGCTTGACATAGCAAATTGGCAAAGCTAGGCGTTGAACATCTTTGCATATACAGCTTTTCTTTATATGTATATATAAGACTTCATACTTGCATATTCTTCCTGTGTGGAGTTGTACTTGGCGCCAAGGCCATGTGACGATCATTACAGTCGAGCGCCGGGTGGAGCGCTCCATGGCCGAACGAAGTCGCATGGAGCGTGCACAAAACAGGCCCAGTCGCAGAAGCGCAGCGATTCCAATCGGTTTGCCGAGGTAGCTAGGTAGCTAGTAGAAGAGGTAGCTATAGACTAAGTCCGCTCCTAGGTAGGATGCAGGATACAGCTCACGCTTCTTCAAGAAAGCTCCCCCCAGCTGCTTCGGCTCACAGCTGGGCAGCTCACGCCCACTCGTGAGGGCCGGGGCTCAGCCGCTCACCGCACGCGTGAGGGTTGAGCGTCCACAGACCAGGACCTCACCAGGTCGTGGATCGCAATGGATACTAAGGTGACGATGAGAACCGAAGGAGAAAGGTCGCAAGCTGGCTTCATCGACTGGGCCACTATGGGATTACCGGAGTCTCTTGCTTCTAGTGTCAGGACGGCTCTATGGTCGATCGCCACCACAGGTACTTGCCGTGGAGAAGATGATGACTGGGTCCTCTTTGGTGAGGTGCTGTCTCACCAGAATGGATCACCACCGAGGGTGTCTTTACGACGTACTGCCCTGCTGACCTCTGATGCGGTGCACAGTGACGTTTGCTGGGGAACCTTTACCTTAAGCCTTCCAGTTGAACACAAGAGGGTGGATTTTGCACCAGGCATGCTCATTGGTGTGTACTCCAAACCGATGAGCCGCATTGAGCCTTGTACGATTGTCGCTGATGAATCTGTTCCGGTCTGGAATATTTCCTCGTTTGACAGTTGCTTGGCCTGGAATGTGACCCACCTCTTCGCCGGTGCCTATGAGGGGTGGTTGCGTGCTATGTGGTGGGCTCAACAAGCCAACATTGGGGTTTCCTTTGCTTCTCACACATCGGTTGATTGGTGCCCTGAAGTTATGAAGACCTGGAACTATAACCATGGCTCCACTGCTCATGAAAGTCCTGTTCCAGTGTCCTTCAATCCCACTGCAAGCATCAACGGGATCCTGTCGGATATCAGCGACTATACCCTCCTCAGGGCCTCAGCCAACAAGTCCAACCTGCTGTTCACTCCGCCCCCGTGTCCGAGCTGGAGTCGGGGCGGCAAGAATTCAGGACTGGGCACGGACGAAGGCTTCTGCTTCTTGGACGCGATTGAGCATGTTGTCCGGGCACGGCCTGTACTGGCGCTGTTTGAGTGTTCTGACGGCATTGAGAATCACCCTCATTGGAGGGTCCTTTCTGCCGCATTGCAACTTGGGGGGTATCAGAAGGTGTGGTCACAGGATGTCGCGATTCACCAGCTCACCTCCAACTATCGTACCAGATGGATTGCTGCTTGTGTGAGGAGTGACATCCCCAGTCACAGGTGTCGAGAACGATTTATTTGTGCAACAGACCGGCGACTGAACTGGAATGATGTCAAACATCAACACTTCCTCCCGAGTTCCTTGAAGACTGACCTGGTTCTTCAGGCCCCTCAACTACAAGTGTATGGAGACCGAGGCCTTCTCCCACCTGCCAAACGAGGACGGGAGGGTGAGAGCATGGATCAGCAACGTGTCCTTGCTCAGAGGGTACTGCACCCTGGTGAGTACTTACCTACGTTATGTGCTTCCTACACTGCTCAACATCTCCTCCAGCGGGATCACATTGAGTCCAAAGGTTTATTTGCAAGCCTTGTCCATTGTGATGGCACATTCTCGTTCGTTGATCCGTTTACATATGTGTCATTGTTTGGAACAACTGATTCTGTTGCCCTACCGGTTGCAATTCGGTCAGCATTCCATCAATTGGGCAATGCCATTTCGCAAATTCATGGCCTCATCGGGCTTTTGGCTGGACTTGAAGGGGTGACGCGTGAAACCTTCCCCAAGCATGGTCTTGTGCAGCAGTGTTGGGAGGACCGCCTCACAAGTGAGAATGCGATTGTCAGAGTCTGTGATAATATGTATGTTTTGCAACCGCTGGCAGATTTCGTTGCAAAGGCTATGCCCAGTATTGCAACATGGCAACCGTGGCTTGTGAATCATGCTCTGGTCAGATTCTGTGATGATGCAACATTGGTTCCCCTCAACATCGACGAGAACCTCAGAATTGTTGATCAACTCTTACTGAGCTTGGACCTTGGGCCGCATCATGAGCATCTTCTCCGTCTTGCTGGGGATGGCGGGGTTCTCCCCGGGGACATGCGATGGTTGTTGGACGCTTTCATGTGAAGATTGGCTCTCTCAGCCTGTGTGAGTTGCGCGTGGTGAAAACTGGAATTGTTGACCTTCCGGATGACCCGATCATGTCGCCCACGCAACCGTGGGATGGAGAGGTTGCTGATCCCGAACTGGATCACTTGCGAGAAGCCCAACAAGCCGGCTTCCTTCACGTAGTGGAGTATCTGTGCCAGGACGAGGCTCCTAGGCACACTGCCAAAGTCCTCCTTCTGCAGCAAGATGGGTCTTCCGAGTGGATCAGTGATGCCAACCTGGATCGCTTAGGGAGTATTCCTGTTTTCCAACAAGGTGACAAGGCACTGCACTTCTTCAAAGCCAACCGTGAGGCATGCCAGCAGCTACTGGGTATTCACATTGTGATGGCTGTACAGGGTCTCTATGATCCGGTTCATCCTGACAAATGGGTCCTCCTTGCAGGCGGTCGTGATCTCAGATGGTGCAAGATCTGCCACATTCCTCGCACGGTCACGCCTCGACAGTGTGACAGATTGCTGGAACAGCAGTGTCATATCACTATGCGCAACACAGTGGTTTGTCGGCCTGATGAGCCCCTCATGCTTATCAATGGTGATGTGCTATGGAGTGATACCCGTGTGCACGATGTTGTCTCCATTGCTTTTGGTGGAATGGATCGTCTTGTTGACCGACCAAGCTGCAATGTTCACAATGATGAAGTCCGGGCCCGATTGTTGCAATTCAATCTTGAACCTGGAGCCCTGGCTCTCGATGAAGTTGCTTTCCATTTTGATATGTTGCAGGTCCTCATGCCATCCATTTGCTGGTGTTCACCAGGAACATGGGCGAGTGTTGAGTCTCAATTCCGCCTCCCGAATCAGCCGGTTGATTTGCAGCGCTGCTATCAGCACTTTGTGGTTCCTATTTTGGTTGTCTTTGATTGGATCTTCGTTGAAGTTCGCTTCTTTGAAGGCCAGTGGAGAGTCCTGTATCACTCTCCGGAGCAGCTCACAATCCGGCAAATGAATGCTGTCCTGGAATTGATCAATGTGATGGGCATCCCCGTTGGGCATAATGCCTACCGATGGATCCGCACAGCAGAGGACAATGACTTGGCGCCTTGGCACACTCTCCGCACCTTCTATGCTCGAGCGGGGGCTCCCAGGCTTCCTGAATCACATCGGAGCCTACAACGGCTGCAACGATCACAGTACACTGACCACATCATGCAAATCATTGACCAGGCAGACCTGGTCTGGAGAGAAACTCAGGCAGAAGACAGAATGGTTCAATTTGCACGTGCATGCAGACATGCTTTTCTTCTGGCCATTACGGAGTCTCCAAGTCGTGCTGATGACCTACTGCGTAGAGCAACTGGCCGTCCACTGCACGTCTATGACATCCATGAGATCTTCTTTATTGCTGATGAATGGCTTGAGATGAGGCTCAATATCTATCGAACTCACCCATGTTGGGCCACGAGTGATGAGATTGAGTTTGCCACGAGCTTCTTCATGCCTGAGTCATTTTGCCCTCCGGTCCTGCACCATGATCTCTCGTTGATCGCTGCAGGAGTCAAAGTTCCCTGTGATGAGGTCCAACGATTTGTGGCCCTTCGTGAAGGCCACTGGATTGGTGTCGAAGTGGTGTGCAATGCACAGGAGCACACACGCCGGGCGGTTTTCCTTCAAGTTCCCCCAAGGGACCAACAGTTTTGGCACGACTTTGCCATAGACTATGTTGTCCCATTTGGCTTCCGACCGATCATCATCATTGACACCAACCGTACCAGACCAGGGATGTGTGGATGGGAGCTTCTCCACAGGTGGATCATTGTTGATCTCCATCTTCCGGATGCTTTCCACATTCCAAATCCGAAAAGACAGCTTATTGACCAGGTGATTGCTGAGTCTGATCAGGCTTGGAGAACTGTTGGAGCGCCACCTATGTTGAGAACCTTTGCTGAGAACATTCGAAGGCTTTTCCTCCTCGTCGGAGGAGTCCACGGCCTTCAGCCGTGCTCTGCAGTGTCGCTTGGTGGTATGGAGAGTCAAGCTAGTACTGATTCCTCTATGCAAGCGGTTGATCCGTGGCAAATCGATGATCCATGGAAAGCCAAGAAGAAGGCAGTGAAGCAAAGCAAATGGGAGGACCTACAACTCCAAACAGATC